TTTCCATGCATATGCATGCACGTACCCAACGTTAATTACAATAATAATCAAACATCCTTTTTTTTTTTCTATTTTTTTTTTTGTTGGTAAAGTCCCCGGCACTCATTTGTAAATCCAAAACTTTGCGCTCACGTCATTTCCTCATCGTCATCAACGTAGCTGCACTGTGAACTTAGTTCTTTCGAAAACACATGAAGAAAAATAAAAAACTCTTGACCAAAAAAGAAATTGAAAACTTATAAATATATTGTTGCTAAAACGATTGACTAACAACAAAAGCAGTCAGCAAACTAAGAAAATCATGGTACATTGGAAGCTATGTTCTCCAATAAGATTAAATGCATTTTTTTAAAGAGCGATTATTTAATGATCCTTTTTGTACAACAATTCAACATCATAATTTATAGGGTGTGTGAATTCACACACCTTTTTTTTTTAGATCTAACAAACTCTTGTTAATTTTTATCTATCAATTTTATTCTTTTTATTTGATTCGACAATCTAAAATTGAGAGGGGTCTGTGAGAGGTAAAAGTGTGTGTGGATAGCACCACCCAACTTATACGTGTTGGAGAATAAGATTATATATCGACATATGACAAAATAATATCAATTAATATACTGGAGTTTCTGTATTCCTAATATCACCGAGGTTTTTTTGTACCCAACATCTAGTAAAATGTGATTAAGTTGGGAACAATATCGGTAATATTAATATTAAACCGTTCTTGTACAATTTATCAATATACTAATGATATTGCAACTTTCAATTACTTATAAAATTTATCAATATACTAATGATATTCCAACTTTCAATTACTTTTCTACTTGTATGAAAATATTGATATTATTATATTCCAATCCTTGACGGGGCTAATAGTTTTGAATAATGGGGTCATCATATCAACCAACTCATGTCAACATACCAAAAACTTATGCTAATATATGTCGACAGCTAATATTATTTTGTAGAGACTTGTTGAGGGTAGATGCATGATATTATAGAATAATGTTGAAGACTGCCAAGACTTGTAAACTGAGATATTTCATCGAGCGCATGATGCGCATAATAGAGTCGCACACAATAAGAGAAAGAAAAATAAGGCAAATATGATTGAAGAAAATAGAAAAAGTAGGACAAAGAGGTTATGATTAAGTTTGTCTTAATTATTTATAAAAGTGAAACATGAACAAATATACATTGTGATTTTTGAGGTTGTAGCTTAATTTCCCGATACCGCCCAAAAAAAATTCCGAATTTTACCTCAAATTGACGGGTTTAGTTTTCTTCCTTTCATCTCACTTTGTGAATAAAGTCCCTTATCTTCCCATGCACCTCTAACCATCCCCTTCAAATCACACCACATTACACATGAATCACATGATATAACATGATCTGTTATCAAGTATTTGTTTTTTTGGCATTTCATGATTTATATTTATCACGGATGCGGAGGGTGTTGTGTGATATTCTGGTAGCCACGTTTTGACGTGGACCCTTTGACAAGACCTTTTTTAATTGTAGCAGACAACCGTCTCTCATTATCGTTTCGAGTTTTCTTTCTTTTATTCATCCATTTTTCTATTTACATTTAGCATGGTACCAAAAATTTCAATAGTAGGAATTTTTTTTATTGATAATAAAAAGAAAGTTACAAGTAATCAAATGGGACATAAATCTTATATCTCACAATTTTTTTATATTTAATTATAAAGTCGTCGCTCATGTTATGAAATGGCAATGACATAGCACTTGCTTTTTGAATTGAAATTTCATAAAATTATATGGTACCATTTTGCTTAATTGTAACAAATGACACGCAATTTTCTCTTGAATACTCAAATAGGAGGGAAAAAGAAAACATTTTCCTATCAAACTTACGTCGCATTAAGATTCAAACCAACTAATCTTAACTAATGTGGCATTTAGCTTCCTAATTTGACTTTGAGATCTTCCCAATTACCACTTTAAAATTCATGTAATATGCTACAACATTAATAGCAAAGTTCCCCATAAAATAGGTAAAAAAAAACTGGTGAATTGCTTCTTAAAGTATGAAGTATTAAAGAGTAATGTTACATAAACCAAATTTACGAATCATGTGACGCGTCACAAATACAAAATAAGCACGTTAATCGACGTTTAAGTAATAATTCAATCATCAACAACCACGTTATATAGTTTAAAATTTTTAATTTAAATAATTGATCTCTCTAGCATTTCCCAATATTAAATATATAAACATCATTAGATCGTATGAAATTGGAAGTGCAAGAATGGGGCAAACAATCAAGTTTTACCTACTTGGTCTTGCCCACACCATGTCATGTGCTCCATCTGCACGTCTCATTGCAAAACGATCGTCTCAATTTCTTGTCGTATTTTTAAATATACGAAACCAAGTTAGAGACTTTCGAGTTTGACACCTTCACAATCAAAGACTAAAAATAATGTTAAAAAGAATACGTACAATTTTCATCCTTGATTTTTATTGTCCATATCATTAAAGATTAAAAGTCATATCCGATTTGTATTATGATTCACAAGAGTGTTAATATTTGAACTATATTTTCCGACCACGTTGAAGGAAAACAATGAAAAAAGTTAAAACAACTTATCAGAGTTTTTATCTTATTCAAGGAGTCAAGCTTAGTAGTGTGGCTTGTAACCAAGCAAAGTGTTAAGGTGATTAGTAATAGTGAAGTCCGAGCCAGGTGGGTAAACATGTTTTGAAATTTGTTCACAAACCACTGTACAGGGTGTGAGGTCGTAGTAACCACATCCTATGCTCATGAACAAAGTTGGAAAATTTTCTTTAGTGGGGACGAACTTAACCTCTAGTTATTGAGAAAAAAAATTCATCATAAGAAAATATCCTCTATACTTTCATTGCATTTTCTTTTTTTTCTCAAACTTCATTAAGCCACAACCTGTAGGAATTGTTTTACAATAATGGGCTATCTAAGAACATAAACAAAAAGTAGTAAAATTATGATATATTCAAGCTACATATGTCGTTTTATTTATACTCATTAATATGATCAATATGTCATTTGCACCTTCTATAATACCGTATTTCCTTTTCGCTCACAAAACTCCGCTGGGGTTGCTGCCCCCATTAAACCATGGCCGTCTCCGTCCGTACATTTGCTGCTCGGGTTAGTAAGAGCAAGCCCAGCGTGGGTAGTTGCTCGGGGGACGGGGGAGAGAAAAAGGGCCCGAGGCCCCGTGGACCGGCTCCAGCATGGGCAAGTTCGAGTGAAGGTGGAGGCCTGAGCTCTGGGCCCGTGGAGAATTGCCAGCCCGAGAGCCTGAGGCTCTGTGACGCCAGCGCTGACGTCAGCCTGGCGTCAGGCCTTATTTAATTTTTTTTGTGTCAGGCGCGTGCACCCCACTCGCGTGTGGGGGCACATCGCCGACACAAAATCAGAAAAAAAAATTTGCTTTTTCAGTTACCGTTGGGAAGCCACGTGGCTTCCCACGGTCCGTTCGATCTCAACGGATATTTAATTTGGACCGTTCGATCTCAAAGGTCAAAAAAAAAAATCTTATTTAATATCCACCTTTCGATCTGAGATCAACGGTGGATATTAATATGCTTTATAAATAAAAAAATAAAAGAAAAAATAGTTTTAAAATTAAGAAAAGTTACCGTTGTGACACGTGGCACAATCTGGAGTGTTGGAATTCAAATTTTTTTATATCCAACATCAGAGATTAATTAATTGAATAAAAATTTAATAAAAATTGTAAAAAATTCAAAAAAAAATCTGAAATTTTTTTTAAAAAAAATTGTTTTTACTTTTCTATAAATACCTTCTCATTATCATCTACCTTACACAACAATTTCATATTTTCTCAACTACTTTCAATCACATTCCTTTCTTTGTCTCAAAGTTTGAATCCATTTTTTTTCAACAAAATGACCATTGGTGCAGGTACGAATTGGTCGCTTCTTGAAGATGTTGCGTTGTGTACTAGCTGGGTTGAAGTTACTCATAGTTCGTTTACGGGTAATGAGATGCAGTTGTGAGAAATTTGGAGTCTTATTCATACCAATTATCTTGAGAAAATTAGTGGGAAAAGAACTAAAGAATCGATGTCCAATCGTTGGAAATTACTTAACCAATCGTTTAGTACGTGGAGAGACGCCTTGGTACAAGCTAGTAGTAATATTTGAAGTGGGGAAAATTACTAATGAGAGAGAAAGAGAGCTACTTAGGCAAGAAAGGGAACATGTTGAAGAAGAAAGACAGGCTCAACGAGATCGTGAGATTATGAACACGCCTTTAGACGTGAAGTTTCCAAATTCTAAATTTTTTTGGAAGTCAGAGAAAGCGGACGTGGTGCGAAGGAGGCGTGCAAGAGAAGCGATAGCAAGCCAAGATGGTCCTAGCACCATAAGAGAAGATAATCATAGCATCACAAATTGGTTAAGTGATGATGAATAGAGTACTTTTTGTAATCGGAGACCATAATTTTCCAATCACTTTGAGTTGTAATTTATTATTTAGTGTTTGTATTATTTATGTTGTTTCCAATTTATTGAATATTTATTCAAATTAATTTGGTAAGTTATTTATACTAAGAGAATATTTATTGAAATGACAAAAACACACCAAATAAAATTACATAAGCATACGGAATAATAAAAAACTCACTAAAAAAATTACATAAACATAACAAATAATAAAACACACCGAATAAAATAACATAAACATACCAAATTAAAAAAAACACACTAAATGAACTTAATTATCTTCAACTTATCTCAATGCCCACTGGTGCTCTATCAAGTCAATTTGCCGGGCATTGTGCATGTCTGGCATTTGAAATGTAGTATATCGTTGAATGAGCCTTTCATTGTAACGTTCATCCCTTTGTAATGGCTCATGTTGCACGGGCTCATAGGTGGCGTTATGAGCACAATATATACGTGTTCTTGAATTGTTCATCATGTCTGGCTCATATTCATCAACGGCTTCATAATCGTACTCATCTTCCACAATCATGTTGTGAAGAATGATGCACGTCATCATGATGGATCGAAGCGACTCTAACAATTTGGCAGCACCCTTAACGATTGCCCAGCGAGCTTGGAGGATACCGAAACAACGCTCCACATCCTTCCTGCACCCCTCTTGACAGCTTGCAAAGTGTTTTTCCTTTGCACTTCGCGGACATGGCACTGTTTTGACAAATGTTGACCATCGCGGGTAAATGTCGTCAGCTAGGTAGTATGGCCCGTCGTACATACATTTGTTGACCTCATACGTGACTTTTGGTGCCTTTCCTTGCAGGACATCGTTGAACACTGGGGATTGGGTAAGGACGTTGATGTCATTTTGAGCTCCTGGGACCCTGAAAAGGGCATGCCAAATCCATGTATCAAAAGATGCCACCGCCTCCAGAATGATACTTTTTGCTCCTTTTTTGTCCCCATAAGCGCCTTGCCATGCACTTGGACAGTTTTTCCACGTCCAGTGCATACAATCAATGCTTCCAATCATCCCAGGAAAACCACGCATCTCGGCCTTCTTCAACAGCCATTCCAAGTCCATGTTTGTGGGTTTGCGGAGGTACTCAGCGGTGTAGATAGATTCGATTGCTCCGCAAACCCTCATCAGGGACTCAAGAATGGTTGATTTCCCCATCCTCGTTATCTCATCCACTTGGTCTGCAGATACTCCATATGCAAGCATCCGCAAGGCAGCAGTAATTTTTTGCTTAGGCAGTAGACCCATAGCACCAAAAGCATCTTTCTTTTGCACAAAGTAAGAATCGTGGTTGCAAACAACAATCATGATTTTGTTGAACAAATGTCGGTCTATTCTAAAACGACGTCTAAAGTACGTATCAGGGAATGCACTATTAGGAACAAAATAATCATCCAAGAGTTCCATACCTCGTCGTTGCCTGCTTCTATCAAGGTTTCCGGAAACGGCTGGGCCTGTAGATCTGAGCCATAGCTTGGATGACTCGACGGGAATGTGAGGTTCTGCCCATTCTTACTTCATCATCTCTCCTTCTACGCTCCTCATCCTCTTCCTTTCATTTTTTGCCCTTGGTGATTGAACATTGCTTCTGATTGGTTAAACAATTCTTCCTCTTCCTGATCGAGTTCCCACATCACCCTTGAGGAAGAAGACATTGTAAGAAAGAAGCAGAAACTATGAATAATGATACAAATTTTTGTGAAGAAGGAAGTAGAAACTATGAATAATGATAGAGATCTTGAGAAAATTGGTGTGAGATTTGTGAGGATGGATGGTGGATTATATGGAGGATTCAGAAAGGATTAGGTTGTACATAATGTCACGTGGCATGCCGTCATTTGTTAAAAATCTGATGGAAATCTATCCTCAAAGATTGTGAACAGATTATGACACGTAGCGCGACGTGATTGGTTAATAATCTTATCAGAAATCCATCACCAATAATTATATTTTCGGATAATAACACGTGGCATAATGAGTACGATTAAAAAATTTATTGGAAATCCATCCCCACTAATTGTCTTTTCGGATTTTATGACAAATGGCGCAACGACAACGATTAAAAATCTTATCCGAAATTACAAATAAAATTATTTTATATTATTTAATAATGCTTCGGATAATGACACGTGGCGCAACGAGAACGATTAAAAATCTTATCCGATATTACAATTAAAATTATTTTTTATTATTTTATAAATAAAAAAATACTAATATTTTATTGCCTATTGCCAGGATTATTGAAGTGTAACGGTAGAGATGCAAATGCTATTGCCAGGGCTATTACTGTTCATTAGGTGGATTGAATAGTGCATAGCCTGGGGGGAGGACTCCAACACTGGAGTTGCTCTAAGGCACCGCATTCTCTACCGGTGGGTAGCAAACCAACTATCTTATTGAAGATAAAAATTAACTAATAAAAAGTTTGTAGGGAGATATGAAGCCCAACTAATCCGTTTAATTTTCACATGCCCAACTAATTTATCGAGTCCACATTATTTCATTGCATAACTTTTCAATCTAACGATATTAAAATTAATTCCTTTAATTCTTCCCTTTAGTAAACCCTAGACCATCTTTCCACACACTAGGACACGAATCCTCGTCCAAACACACTATGTAAAAGGCGGTCTCTATATAAATTTTTTTTTCAGTGCGTTGAAAATAAAGAGTTGAAATATAAATACTCGAATAAGGATACTTTTTTGATCCTTTTTGTGAGGATCTCGATAATCTTCAAATCGTGTTCATTCGTTGTATATCGTGCGATCAATTTTTGTCAAGTCCTGTTCATGTTTAATTTTACATAAAAATATTTAAAATAATTTTTAACCAAATAATTTACGATAAACAAACATAATTTAAAAATTTCTAAAATCCTCATAAAAACGATCTGAAGATGATCCGCATTCATAAATACTCCCTCCATTAACAGTAAGTGACGCAACACATCGATTTGTAAACTCGCTCTAGTTTAATTATACAAATTTTTACGCACTTTATCGAAGAGAATCTTTCATTGATTTGACACCACATTGATTCTTTTGTACCGTGAAGATTTGCTTTGTTTGCAAACCGTTTCTAGGGTTTTGTTTGCTCGAAAATTTGGTGCTCCGACAAGTCCTCCTTGGATTCCGTTTGTGAGAATCTTAAGAATTTTTAAATTATATTTGTTTATCGTACATTATATAATTAGAAATTATTGTAATTTTTTATGTTTAAAATTGAATATAAATAATATCTGATGAAAACTCATTGCATGATGTAAATAAACGGATATAATTAAAAGATTCTGAAAATTCTCACAAAGAGGATATGACGAGGATCCTCACTCCTAGACGAAACAACATGTAAGTTTCTTGGATTTTCGTAAGGTAATTTCTTCTTTTTTTTTAACGTCACTTAAAGGAAAGAGATCTCAAGTAAAAATTCACGGTTTTTTTTTGTCTTACTCTTGAGTTTGTAATCCCTAAATTAATAAATAAAATAGGGATTGGATGATTGGTTCATGAGCTTATATACAACTCAATATCGAGAGGTTTTTCTTGTGCCAAGAATTCGACCAGTAAATTAAGCGTAGTAATACAATTGATTGAAAATTTGAAGAAAAAAAATCAATTAATTGTATTATTACAATTGGGATATCGGGATACGTTTCTGGCACATTAATAAATTTCTTCTAAAATGTCCTTTAGCCATTGTTCATTTGGAATTTTTTTTTATTGTGACCGAAATACGGGCAGTACACTATATGTTTTTATATAAATTATGAGAAATTTTATTTTTCAAATTATTAACTTTTTAACACATATTCTGTCGTATTATTTCGTGTTCTGATGGTACTGAAAAATTTATCTTTCTTTTGTACACGCCTTGTTTCTTCCTCTCTCTCCATCTAAATTGGACAACTACCAATCCACTCTTTAGGTCCCCAATCTCCATGCTCATTCCTCACAGTCTCTCCTCTATTTAAACCCCATTTAAATTATTTCTCACTCATCTCTCTCTCAATTTCTAGTTGCAGAGAGAGACGCCAAACAACATGGACACCACCAACAACACTTCCTACGCTCCCTTGCCGGGAGAAGACCCCTCTGCCGCCGTCCATCCGCCGACTCATCGGAGACCCTTTAAGGGTTTTGCCGTGATATTCTCCTCCGTCATATTTCTCCTGTCATTGGTCACATTAGTTATCAACCTAGGACCGGGGTCGCCGCCAAAAACAGTGCCAGAACAACCGGATCACCACCACCAATACCGGCCAGCATCAACCAGTTCAGAGACGAGGTCGTTTTCAGTGCCTAGAGGAAAGTTGGAAGGAGTATCGGCCAAATCGTACCCTCATTTTTCAGAGGATGCTTCATATAATTGGACAAATGCCATGTTTTCTTGGCAAAGAACTGCATTCCATTTCCAGCCAGAAAAAAATTGGATAAATGGTAGGTGCAATTACAGCTTTAACTTTTATTTTTGTTAATCACAAGCTCTCTCTATTATTTTTTTAAAAAAATTTTTAAATTTATTTTCGAGTAACACCAATGGTTTAGTGAGATTTGTGTCCATGATTAACTTTCTTAATTGGACTTGATTCCAAATACGCTTTTGGACTTTCTTCTTTTGAATTTCAGTGTTTAATTTTGTAATCCTAATTATGTTGGACTAATCAAATTTGTTTTAATGTGTAAATCTTGTTCTTTTGGTGGGGGATGCTGGTTTCTTGTACTTCAGATCCGAATGGTAAGTTCTTAAACCAAAACTCTTTCTGTACCTTCTTTTTGTTAGTATTTTTTTGATAAATATCAGAATTAACAATATTGTAATGTTCTTTTTGTTATGAAACTATAAATGATCTTATGGAAATTGCATGGGATTATCTGATTTTATCTCTACTTGTGTCTATTAGTTGACATGTCCTGTAGGTTAGTTGATTAGTCTACTGTATCTATTTTTTATCGTAATGCTATTTTTTAGTGTGACGATAACGTAATTAGGTAAACCAAGTGGTCATAACTTTTTTAGGGTACTTGTACTAGATGTTTGATGTTTCCAACCGTATTCCTGTCAAAAATAAATTTCGACCCGTCACGAATTGTGGACAAATCAATCAAAAGTGGGTTGTCTGTATTTCTATTTTCATATTTTCTTCATGTTTTTTTGTGATATGTGGTTACAGTTAAGTTACGTTAATATTTTATATTAATTTTTTTATAAAAATAATAAAACAAAAAGTAACAAAATATAAAATATAATGTTAACGTGGATTAATTGTGATCATACAAATAAAAGAATACAAAAAAAGTATGAAAATGATAAGATAGACAATCCACCTCTATCAATCAAGGCGGACAATGGACGAGTACACAGTTAGGGGACCGCGTTTGCCTAGCTAGTACCTAAACAAAACCCAGCCACGTGGCACACATATACCCACATGTAGTTCTTTCTAGACGTGATTTTTTGGTATTTTGTAGTGATTTATTCAGTAATTTAGCAACGTGCCCATCCGCCACGGTCATTTGACACCGTTCAGTTCACGATGACGGTGGCAGACACCATGCACCCGTCGGAGTGAGATTCTCTTTTTTTTTTTTTTTTTGTCTTTTCTTTCTTCTTCTTTTATTTGAACGGTTACAATTAAATCATGTTAACATTTTATATTAATTTTTTTATAACGAAAGAAAGATAAAATAAAAAAATATGAGAGGAGAATGAAAGAGGATGGAAAGAGAATGAAAGAGAATTCTGGTTTGATTCAAACTTTAACGAAGAAGTTTAGTGCGTGTGGTGGGGCCCTTGTGTTTCTCAAGTCAGATATCACATGGTGTCCGGGGTTGTTTTATTGTAATTACAAAAATTATTAACAATTTAATTAGCTGAACTTCTACGTTTGTGTAGGGCCATTGTTTCACAAGGGATGGTATCACCTGTTCTACCAGTACAACCCGGACTCAGCTGTGTGGGGCAACATCACATGGGGTCATGCGGTATCAACGGACATGATTCACTGGCTCTACCTCCCGCTCGCCATGGTCCCCGATCGATGGTTCGATGCAAACGGGGTGTGGACCGGGTCCGCCACCCTCCTCCCTGACGGCCAAATCATAATGTTGTACACTGGCAGCACCAATGAATCCGTGCAAGTACAGAACCTCGCCTACCCCGCCAACCTATCGGATCCCCTCTTACTTGATTGGGTCAAGTACGAAGGTAATCCGATTTTGACTCCGCCATCTGGGATCGGATCCACTGATTTCCGTGACCCCACAACCGCGTGGATTGGT